ATGGTTCTAAGGTAATAAATAAAATTAGGAATAATATATAGGCCATTGCTGGGTATAACACAGATAAGACCGTATCAAGAGTTTATAATTTACCCCACACAAACGTGTGAAATTGGAGGTATAAAACATCTGACTTTATAACCTGTAAAATATTATAATGAAAAACCAATTTAAAACGATTTGTTTTCATTCTTGTGCACCTGATACGATTTTTGTCTTTTCAAATGTAGATCCCTTGCTGAGAGAGAGAGAGAGAGAGAGAGAGAGAGAGAGAGAGAGAGAGAGAGAGAGAGAGAGAGAGAGAGAGAGAGAGAGAGAGAGAGAGAGAGAGAGAGAAACCATGCAATAATGTTATGATCCTGTAGTTTAAGTGTGTGTGTGTGTGTGTGTGTGTGTTATGGAGTCAATTCTGTATAAATCTTTTTATATATTTTTATTTCATTAAATGAAATTATTATTATAATTATATTAATATCGGTCTAATATGTTGTTAAAATCATGGTGTTTACTTGAGTCGTAAATGTGACTCGTGAGCAAGTGCTGTGTATGATGGCAAACTCATTACAAGTTAACATTTAGGAATATATATGAAAACGATTTGCTGATACTTTGTCCGGCTTTCCTAATGTCCAGATGTATTGTGAAATTGCATGCGTCCTCCGTGCGCATGTAATTCAAACGACGTAATAGCTTCATGTATATGTTGAGGTAATTTGTAAGACGTGAAGAGTCATTTACAGTCCTAGAGTCCTAGAGTCACTCACAGTCAGAGTCTGAGCTTATTGTAACATCTTAGAGTTACATAAGTTATATTACCTTAAAAAAGATATCTTTGTGCTAGAATTAGTTGTCTGTTCGTATGTTTACGTTTAACAACATGCATTTTGTTAGAGGAGCTAATTTTACTTCATTTTTCTGAATATTTTTTTTGTTCTGGAGAATAACATTACTGGTTTGGACAAAGACATTTTCCGAAAATGTTCTAAATTGGAACGGAACTGTGTTTTACTGTGTATATTCTGGAATTTTCTGTTAGCTTTCGTCTGACGTCATCAACCGCCATTTTGAACCGGAACTGAACTTCAGACAATGTTTGTTTAGAACCTTTTACAGGACTTCAGTTTATCTTTAGAGCAAACAATTTGGATCGTTTCTGTAAATCGTAAGTCTTGTTTTCCATATTTACATTATTTCATGTTTTTTAGGAAAATAAATTATTTTTTTTAAATTTATAAAGCTTGTTGTCTTCACTCTTTCTTTATGTTACTTTGAACGAGCCGATACGTAATATAAAGAAATTGGTCCGCTCGGCCTTTGACATATTTGAAATTGGCTTAAAAAGATGAAATTTAAATCCCCCTAGTTTATTTTATTTGAAATCTTAGTGAAATCAATAGGCTTTCTTTCACAATATCAAAAGTAGAGAATTATTTGGAATTTTTCTCAAGAGTGTTTAGTAATTTTGAACATGGCAGTCCAGCAGAAAAAGTTAGAGTGAGATATAAAACGAGTTCAATTCCAGATAGAAAAATGGCAATTGGAAAAAGAAAAAGAAAACATGCACTTACAAAAAGAAAAATAAATTGAAGCAATGCAGTTGCAATATTAAAGAAAGAGGAGAAGAAATGCAAATGCAGTTCGAAGAAAGACATAAAGAAATACAAATTCAATTTGAGAAAGAAAAATACAAAGATATAAGGATGATAGGAAATTTCAAATTCGATTGAAATAATTAGAGCTGGCAAAAGGAAAACCCTCCCCTACTTTTGATGTAGTAAATATCGAGCTAGTGCCCCCTTTTAGTGAAAATGAAGTAGACAAATATTTTATTCTTTTTTAAACATTTGCTGAGAGCTCCAAATGGCAGAGGGAGTATTGGACTTTAGCATTGCAGAGTGTCCTTTTTGGTAGTGATTGCAATATTTACATTGTTCTCTCTCACTAGAGCAGAGTTCTGACTATGTTGTGGTTAAGGACTGTATTTGCGTGGTTATGAGTTAGTCCCGGAGTCTTATCGACAAATATTCAGGTTTTCCAGAAGGTCAACTGACAAGACTTCTGTCGAATTTGCATGGAAAAAGGCACAACAGTTTGATAGGTGGTGCTCTTCTAGTAAGGTCAATAAAGATTATGAAAGTCTCAGACAACTTATATTGCCTGAAGAGTTCAAGAACGGTGTCCATAGTGACATTATGATGTATCTTGAAGATCGTGAGGTCAAAACCTTGGAAAGTGTTGATCTGGCTGCTGCTAAATATTATTGAACTCATAAAATTCCTGCTGTAGACATATCTTTCACTCAACAGTCTACTGATAGAAAGGTGTTCAAACAAATACGATTCTAAGTAAAACTCAATCTGACACAAATTCTAAAAGTCAAGCCTCTGAGAGACTTGATTCAAACTCATTGTAACTATTGTTAGACAAAAGGACACGTCATTTCTGAGTGCTTAAAAATTGAAATACAGGCATCAGAATCAAGATAGACCTATCATAAATGCTCTTATTTCGAAGAGGTCAAGGTTAAGGTCATGTATTGAAAACAATACATTTATTGGGTTTGATAAACCTCAGTGTGTTTTGGCGAATTTTGAACCATTCATGTCGAAGGGTTCTATATCACTCTTGGGTGATTTGGCCAATCCTATCTCATTTAAAATTTTAAGGTATACATGGGCTTCTCAGAGTCGTTTAGTTCCAGGTGTTTTGCCTTCTTCTGAGAAGACCTGTTCTAATGAGAGTGTTCTTCTTCAGGGAGTAGAGTGCGGCTTTGTTAATGGTTCTCTCCATTCTTTTCATGTTTCATCAGACATAGTTTCAAGACCCGTGACCGTCGGTGTAGTGTAAACCTTACTCTTAGAGGGCGTTCATTTGTTGCTAGGCAATGACTTAGCTGGAGACAAGGTTGTTTTTAATCCACTTGTAACTGACAAGCCTTCTTTGGATCAGAAAGTTGATCCTATTAAAAAATTAATCCATGAATTATGTTCAGCTTGTCATCAGAGCTTTGGCAAATAAAGCTCTTGGGAATGACTTTGATAAGGACTGTGTTTCTATAGCTGACACATGTATTGGTCAGGTTTTTATGAGATCACTTTCACTTCTAATTTAGATCAGTCAAAAGGTATTAATCATAGTGATTCTTTTTTGAATACTCATTCTCTTTTATCTGATCAGGGTGATAACCGACAATCACTTGTCGTTGAACTGGAGACGGATCCTAAGATGTCCTGTTTGTTTCAGCGGGCCGTTAGTGAAAATGAAGCAACTGAAGTACCTGTCTGTTACTTCATTAAAAATGGAGTTCTTATGATAAAAATGCGACTTCCAGAGGAATCTGCTTGTGACGAATGTCAGTAAAATACCAGATTATGGTTCCTAAACAATACAAACAGGAAATACTTTGTTTGGAACATGATACCTTTATGGCTGGTCATTGAGGGATAAATAAAATATATCACAAGATCTTGACTCAATTTTATTGGCCAAAAATCAAAAGTGATGTTACCAAGTTTTGTAGATCTTGTCAGCAGTGACAAATTGAAGGAAAACCAATTCCTGCATATGACAAACCATTCAGTAGAGTTGTAATAGATCCCTTAACAAAGACCATACCATGTAACCAAAATTTGTTGACAATTAAGCGTGTGTCAACAAGTTTTTCAAAAGTAATTCCTTTGAGTAATTTTGCCCAATTTCGCCTTCTCAAATTAGATCAATCTTGTCAAAGGCTAAATTTCAAGTCTAGTGTGTTCAAGCTTATTTCTCTTGAATTTGGCATTCAGAAGTTCAAATTGAAAGCGAAACTGTGGTTTCACCAATATGTACTAGAGAGAAGTTTTGAGTCCTGTAATAGATTCCATTCTCTTGCTTATTCTGCATAAGTTTCTGAAATTACCATTTGATGGCCTTTACAAAGTAAAGAAGAAAATGAGTTAAATTATGATATTAGTACTTAAGTATAAGTAAATTAATATAGTACTATTATTTTAAAAGAAATAGCCAAGCAAATAATGCAATTAATTTAGTTATACCTGTCCCACCAAAAGATGATTTGAATGAAGGAATTCAGTTGGACTCTACTAATCTTGGAATAAGAAGTCTGCAGAATTCGGAGGTTATGGAAAATCTAGACCAGAAACTTTCTCATTTGCAAGATCAAGACAAAGGTGGACTTAAACAATTATTATCTGAATATAACCACTTGTTTCCAGACGTGCTTACAAAGACAAAATTTTTTACGACATTGAAATAGTAAATTCGAAGTCCATAAAACAACACCAACACAGGATGGATCATTTTATACAGCAATATATGAAAAAAGATTCAGTATTTACAATGATTTTATAGAGCCCAGTAAAAATGATTTGAGTTCACCGTGCAATCTTGTTCCGAAACCGGATGAAACTTTCCGAAAGTGTACGGATAATGGGAAGGCGAATAGCTTCACAAAAACACTCATTTCCACTGCCCAGAATCGACGATTGTATCGACAAAATTGGAAATGCCAAATATGTCACTATATTCGACCTTCTGGAGGGATTTTGGCAAATTTCCGTAACGAAAATAGCAAAACAAAAGAAATTTCGACATTTGTGACTCCAGATGGACTCTACCAATACAAAGTGGTGTCTTTTGGGATGAAGGTTCTCAGAGTATTTTTCAAAGCCTTATAAATATAATTAATTCTGGTCTAGACAACTGTGATGCGTACATTGATGATGTCATCATTTACAACAACACCTGGAAAGAACATCTAAGATTCGGAAGATCTTCGACAGACTCACGGATGAAAATCTGACTAATAATTTCTCTAAAATTGAGTTATGCCGTGCATGTGTTACCTTTCTAGGACATATTGTGGGACATGGTCAGAAACTTGATGAATAATATTTCCGAATAAAATCCATATACTAGTATTTACACGATCTTATACGTAAGATGTACACTACAGTAGGTATGAGATGGCATAGTGGTTTCTGTAAACTGTAATTTATACCGTTCCGGTGACCTTGTGGTTAGAATGTCCGCCTCGGATGCGGGAGGTCGCGGGTTCAAACCCCAACCGAGTCACATCAACGACTTATATAAATGGCATGAACAGCTGCCTCGTTTGGCGCTCAGCATTTAGAGGTTAGTGTTATGACTGGTCGGCCTTGTGTCAGGATAATGTGACTGAGTGGGACATCATGCTACATATCTGCGGCATGATGCTCCAGTGCTATACATCACTCTAAACTGTCACACTGCAGAGATCGTAGCAATATGACTGACAAATTGTTAAAGCTACGTTAAAACTCTAAATCACAAACACAAACAATCTGTAAATAACTTCTATCAGGGCCAGGTACCTGGAAACTAGTTCACATCCTCAACCAAGTTTGGGAGCCTAGAATTATGTTTCATGGATAAAGAGATATTCCCAACAACGAGTTAAGTCATTTTCAAACAAAGCTTAGCCAAAATGGGAAAAGATCCCCGCACATTTGGAATATATTGTGATAAATATGGCAGTATCAATCACAATAGTATCATAAAACTTAAAATCCTTTTAGCCTGAATGATTTTATTCTAAATCTTTTTTTAATTGACATATGTGAAAATTTCTGTACAAAGCATAGATCTGCGTTACTGACTTTATAAAAAAAAGAAAAGTATAAATTTCAGCATTTTGTAATTCTGTGTGTATGATTTCAAAGCTTGATAGAAATTACAAAATTAAGAACTATGGCCGCTTTTGGGAAAGATGGCACTGACATCACATGTTTACATCCGGTTTTCCACCGGAGGTATAATTTGGTTTGTCTTGTTAGAGAAACAACTACACTGAAAAACTAGACATATTCATTCAAAAAATAGTAACGTAGCAATGCATCACTCTCAGATGAAATTCGCATGATTCCAATCCGGCTAATTAACCTCTATTTTCACAATTACGGTCACAAATTTTGAAAAGCGCGATCATTACAGGAAGTAGCCCATTTATACTAATTTCTACCCTGCAGTAAATATGCATTAGGGTCTAATAATCGTTCTGAACGTGGCACCGAATCTGTTCTTCTTAAAACAAAGATCTAATAGTTGAATGTGATGACGTCATCAACCGTTATTTGTACTATGTACCTTTACATATTTCTGTTCTGGAAATTTATTAAAAAAATATTAAATCATGCAGTCTGAAATAAAAAAAACAAGTTAAACATTTTATCTTGCAAAATTAGTTTCATGACGTTATTTAGCCCGTGGTAGAAATGGATTACTTCCTGTAGTGTACGCTACTGTTGTTTGAATATATATGTGTAGTTTTTCAGTCTTCTTGAGATGCTGAAGCGATAAAAGACTCGAGAGAAAAGTCGAATCTAGCGGAGGGTTGATGTCACGCTTGAATTCGTTGTGCTAATTTGTGAAACTGTTAAGGTGATTTCATGTTGACAGAAATTATGTCGTGATTTATTGATAAAATCGCAGACTCCCGTGTTTCAGTGTCACGTTCTTCATCAACGTGCCGTACTACATGTTATTCTATACCACGTCCTTCTTGTACGTGCCGAACTACATGTTATTCTATACCACGTCCTTCATCAACATCTCGTACTAGGCGATATTATATATCAGGTCATTCATCAACATATCGTTTTACGCGTTATTCCATACCACGTTCTTCATCAATATGTCGTACTACCGTACTACATGTTATTCTATAGCACGTTCTTCATCAACATGCCGTACTACACGTTATTCTATACCAGGTCCTTCATCAACGTGTCGTACTACATGTTCATCTTTTTTCTCTGTTAACTTTACATTGTCAGAACCGTGCAATATTCACCGATATTGAACACCTTCATATTGTATCCCGCGTGCAAAAGAACTATTTTCTAAAGTAAACAATTTGTATGAATGAACTAAAGCAGATATTTCATGGACGGCCACATACCAGCAAATGTTTCATAGACTGACACATACAAACTGCTTTGGCACATTCCGCGTTTAGGTTTTTGATACAATGTTTCAGGTTTAACTATATATAAACGCTATACAGGCTCCTCACAATAAAACGCAAGTTATACACATAAACTGTCTTCTTTAGCTGTTAATAAAAATGGCCAAAAATATACTTACAATTTTACATCATGAAGTTTCCTCAAAAAATGAACTTTCGTACGTCTGTAAATCTGAATTAGATGAGCCATATCATGGGTTCTCAAGGTTGATTACACATTTTGAAATTGTACTGTAATTTCGAGTATATTCCATGTAGTTACATCCACTTTACTGCACTCAAAATGAAATTAACATTAAATTCCTTAACATCTTTTCGACAATTGGAATGCAAAAGCTTCATAATTTTCTCACATTGTGATCTGAATCATTTAATGACAGAAAAGAAACACACATGCCGATGTAAACACAATTCAAAACATTAAATTGGCAGACGCTGCTGGAAACTGATGCAAGTCACTTCATGTAGATAAATCCAGACCATAATCAAAAGATTGCGTTGAATCGACAAAAATTCCTAAAATGTATCCATTCCAGAACAAATGGAAAAGTTGTTGCAATGCGTATTCATTAACAATAGTACTCCCAATTTCAATTTTATGTGGAGCAGGTGCCATTTTCTTTCTAAACTTACGTCTAGCGCGACCAATTTCATATTTATCTGGGCGGAGTTAAACGCTTATTAATAATGTTATGTAATGATACATCAACCCTTATGTATTTAGTTTGGCATACGGCATACATTTAGTTACTTTGTTTCTTTCAGTGTATTTTTGTTTAATATATTTAGGCCTTAAGAAGAATTAGAAATGAGAATATAATAAAATGGTTACTGTATTTGTATGGGAAAATATGAACTCCTTTTGTGAGAAGGATATCCATTCGAAAAACTCGCTCATATTTTCCCATACAAATGCAGTAACCAATAACTATTCTATACCACATTCTTCATCAACATGCCGTAGTCACGTTATTCTGTACCACGCTCTTCATCAACATGTCTTACTTCGCGTTATTCTGTACCACGCTCTTCATCAACATGTGGTACTACAAGTTATTCTATACCAAGTTCTTCATCAACATGTCTTACTTCGCGTTATTCTATACCAGGTTCTTCATCAACATGTGGTACTACAAGTTATTCTATACCAAGTTCTTCATCAACATGTCTTACTTCGCGTTATTCTATACCAAGTTCTTCATCAACATGTCGTACTACAAGTTATTCTATAACACGCTCTTCATCAACATGTCGTACTAGATGTTATTCCATACCACGCACTTCATCAACATGTCGTACTAGATGTTATTCTATACCACGCTCTTCATCAACATGTCGTACTAGATGTTATTCTATACCACGCTCTTCATCAACATGTCGTACTAGATGTTATTCTATACCACGCTCTTCATGAACATGTCGTACTAGATGTTATTATATACCACGCTCTTCATCAACATGTCGTACTATATGTTATTCTATACCACACTCTTCATCAACATGTCGTACTAGATGTTATTCTATACCAAGTTCTTCATCAATATGTGGTACTACATGTTATTCTATACCACGCTCTTCATCAACATGTCTTACTTCGCGTTATTCTATACCAAGTTCTTCATCAACATGTGGTACTACAAGTTATTCTATACCAAGTTCTTCATCAACATGTCTTACTTCGCGTTATTCTATACCAAGTTCTTCATCAACATGTGGTACTACAAGTTATTCTATACCAAGTTCTTCATCAAAATGTCTTACTTCGCGTTATTCTATACCACGCTCTTCATCAACATGTCGTACTAGATGTTATTCTATACCACGCTCTTCATCAACATGTCGTACTAGATGTTATTCTATACCAAGTTCTTCATCAATATGTGGTACTACATGTTATTCTATACCACGCTCTTCATCAACATGTCGTACTAGATGTTATTCTATACCAAGTTCTTCATCAACATGTCATACTACAAGTTATTCTATACCAAGTTCTTCATCAACATGTCGTACTACAAGTTATTCTATACCACGCTCTTCATCAACATGTCGTACTAGATGTTATTCTATACCACGCTCTTCATCATCATGTCGTACTACGTTATTCTATGTCACGTCCTTCATCGACATGCCGTAATACATGTTATTCTATACCAAATTCTTCATCAACATGTCGTACTACATGTTATTCTGTCACGCCCTTCATCAGCATTTCGTTCTACAAGTTATTCTATACCAAGTTCTTTATCAACAAGCCGTACTAGATGTCATTCTATACCACGTTCTTCATCAATATGTCGTACTACATGTCATACTATACCACGTTCTTCATCAGTATGTTATACTGAGTGTTGTTCTATACCACGTTCTAAATCAACGTGCTATGCTACATGTTATTCTATACGACGTCCTTCATCAACATGTCGTACTACATGTTATTCAATGTCCTGTTCTGCATCAACATGTCGTACTACGCGCTATTCTATACAATGTTCATCACCAACATGTCCTACTACATGTTATTCTATTCCCCATCCCTCATTAGCAAGTAGTACATGCTATTCTATACCACGTTCTTCATCAACATTTCGTACTTCATGTAATTCTGTCACGTCCTGCATCAATGTCATACTACATGTTATTATATACCACGTTTTTTTATCAACTGGTTGAATTACACGTTATTCTATGTCACGTCTTTCATCAGAATGTCTTACTACATGTTATTGTACGTCACGTCGTTCATGAGCATGTCGTACATGTTATTCTATGCCACGTTCTTCATCAACGTGCCGTACTACATGATATTTTATACCACGTTCTTCATCAACGTGACAAACTATTCCACGTTCTTCATCAACATGTCGTACTACGCGTTATTCTATACCAGGTTATTCATCAACATATCGTACTACGCGTTATTCTATACCACGTTCTTCATCAACATGCCGTACTACATGTTATTCTATGCCACATTCTTCATCAACATGTCGTACTACCTGTTATTCTATACAACGTTTTTCATCAACATGTCGTAGTACATGTTATTTTATGTTATGTTTTATCAGCA